ACAAGAAAAAAAAAAAAAAAAAAAAGAAAAAGGACCTGTGAATATTTCCGCACTCACTGCGTTTTAATCTGGACAAGGGATTAAAGGGAGTTGCTTCCCATTGCTTGCATAATAGTCAATAACCCACTTCACATACCGATGCCTGTCTGAACAATTTCCATGCCAAAAGGACAGAAGATACTTGGCCCTTGAAGCCCTGCTGGAAGAGCCACAGAAAACTAAAGGATGTACATGTACATCAGCATCACGGATCAGACACAAGTTATTGCCACTCTCTGTTATTTACCCTGAAATTCTTTGCACAAGCAACAACAATATACAGTGATCTGATAAACAGTACCACTTTTTTTTTCTTTCAAGGTCAGTTCCAAGAAACCCCTGCTAGAATCAGCTAATTAATTTTTGGCCTCTTTAACTACAGGGTATTTGAAGCCACATGTTATGAATCATTTTCAGTTGAGATATTAAAATCAGATTAAAAGAGAAAAGCCTTGTAAATATTTGCCTTCAAATGAGGCTAAGAATAAATATATATTCAGTAATTCATCCATATTTAGCAGATATTAAAGAGACAAAGCATAGCTTTAAATTCACTTATCATTTTATACAAAGAGAGGAAATATGAAACTTGGCTTGATTAGCTTGTTTCTTCCTATGCTTTGTAATACCTTATTAAAATTTGAACTTTGAAATTGATATTATCAGTCAAATAATGTCAGCAGAAATATTTAATCTGTGGTTAGAGCTTTATTAATAGAACTTTTATTTGAAGTGTTTTATGTCAAAAGAGAAAAAAATAATAAAAAAGAAAACCTGAAATGGACTTGGAAGGTTGATTTGACTTCACTGATTCCATTTTGAAACTCTACACTACGTGCTGCTAAAGAAAAATCCCTAAATCTAGATTCTAGATACACACACTTCAGGTTTTCAAGACTATGGTGCTCCCTAAAGGAAACTCTTCCTTTTTGACTGCAAGGTATTCAGATCTTCATGAGGCACAGGGTTCAACTGGCCTTCCACACCAGGCAAACAAAGACTGTTGTGTTCACTGGGAAAGACTCATAGAAGAGGTTTTCTCTTTTCTTCCCCTACTGATAACATTTTAACCATTAAGGAATGTCCATACAGGATAGAAGGGAAACAGGGAAGTGATTGCTTCTTGCCAGGTTTTGACAAATGAGTTGTGTTAACTGATGAAACAAATTTGTAGACCTCTGACAGACCAAACCCCAAAATTAAATATAATTATTCTGACAAGAATGAGAATGACATTGCAGAGCCTCCAAGGGTGACATTACAATAAAAATCACTTCAGACTTCTGCTTATAGAAGAGCCACATTTATGGAAATCTGAGTGACTGTCATACATAGTATTCCATTTTGTACTACAGCAATGATATTGGAAATAGATTTCAGTTTCCCTGTAAAGTATCTTTTCATCTCCACTGACACATGTACCAAATACTGCAAAATATACCCTATAAAGAAATACATATGAGAAAGAGAATCATGAAGTCTTGCTGTGCATTCTTGTTTTTCCAGTAAATATTCTAGTTGTCAGCCCTGTCAGTCATGAATTTGTAAGGATAGGGTTTATCTTGAAAATAGGTGAAGGACAGAGGGGAGAGGAAGAGACAGAAGGAAACGGAAAAGAAAAGGGAAGGGGAAAGGGAAAAATAGAAAACCAGAAAGAAAAGTGTGAGAGGAAAGAAATTAAAATAAATGGGAAAAAAATAAGAGATAGAAAATGAGAAAGGAAAAATGTGTCTAACTGGACTAATTCTGAGACTCCGAGTTTGTTGTGTGAGCAAGCAATAAAATGTTGATTTCACAGCAAATCTAATTTCAAAAGTGTTCAATAATCTTAAACTCTCTTTTAAAAATCCAATGCCTCTATTCATTACTTTATGACTACTGAAGTATTCCTTAGGCAAGGACAAAATAGAAGAATTCTGCATATAGTAAAAAAAATCCTCACTAATGTACCAGACTTTCTCTTTTTCACACATATATAGGTCCAGATATTTGATTAATGCAAAAACTACAGGTCACAATTCTTAGGAATAAAGAGGAAAAAGATAATGCTCACCACTTCACCATGGTTTTAGTCAAGCCAAAATCAGTACAAGCCTAAAACCTAGAGAAACGTGCAAACAGCTTAGTTTAACCCTTAGTTAAACCTAAAAACAAAACAAAAAGCCTTCCAAGTCTCTACCTCCCTGTTGATTTGCTAATGCCTGCCTTTGATAATGTTCCATTTTACCAGTAGAGCTGTGGGAAGTTCATGAAGACAGACACTAAAAGGAGGACTTTGAATTATCTACCTGACATTTTCTTTCATAATGAAGTTTATGAAATATGTTAGAAATCACTCTATAGTAGCAGGGTGAAACACATTGAAGAACTTGATTAAAACCACACAGCCACAACTGAAGTTTCTGTACATAGCAAAGGACACTAAACAAATTGGTTTCCCAGGACTATGGAAGTAAGGATGAGAAGGGAGAAGAAGGGTGCTTATTACAAGCATGAAGTATTAAAAGACATGATGAAATCACCTAAGTTTGTAACAGGGAAGTTTAAACTTTGCTACTGGTGCTGTTTTATAACCAGTCTGCAGAAAAAAAAAACTCTCTCTGTCCAATGCTCTTCCTGGCACTTCTCCTTTCACCCCTCAGCCCCATCCACAGGTGCCTGCTGGGTGCCATCCAACGCAGGAGGATCACATGCCATCTGTAGCATCCCTAGGGAGACTCCAGAAGATCACTGCAGAAATTCATTTGGATTTTTATTTCAAGAAGCATTAACCCTTACTTCCCTTTGTAACCTTCCCACTCAGTGACAAAATCTTTATTTAGGCATGGACAAAAAAATTATAACAACCAAAACCAAGGAGAACATAGTTCCTGCCAAACAAACACTGATCAGAGGCAGAAGCTTTGGGTCCAACTGCCCTTCAGTTTACAGAGATGACTTTTCATGCCAAACAGGAAAAAAGTAGAAAATTCTGGAGTGAAGGTTTCTGCTTGGTGCCCCTTTAGACCCAACCTGTTTTCCTTTTGGTTTGGGGATTTTTTAATTATTTTTTTTTTATAACAATAGGCATTGATTGGTGTGTATAGATAGATGCTACTCTTTCTATCTTTTAGCCTGCTGAGCTTACTTTGTCAGGAAGATGTTAGCACTCACACTTTCTTAGTAGACCTTAACCACATGACATTACTAAGTATACTAAAACAAGCCTTGAAATTTTAGCACTTTATAACTAAAAAAAGGCTACCAGATTTGAGATTGGTCACAACAATTAAGACGAGTGCTGATAACTGTGACATGAGATCGACTTTTTTTAAAAACATTCATTACTAATGAATACAGCCTAAATATTTAGATATTATTTGGTTTAATTTACTTCCAAATGCCAAAGAGTTGCTAAAAAAACCTGGTTTGTTTAGTCCTGTTTATCTTAATATAGTCTTAATATTCACAATTTTTATGTTATTGCAGGAGAATTTGAAAACAACAGTGACATTAAATGAGAGATTGTCAGAAGGAACCAAGAAATTCAGATCTCAGGTGTCACTGCTCTGCAGAGGAGATTCTTCCCCAAAGAGTAATAGGAGTTTTTCAGAGTGCTGCACCAAATTAGCAATAATATTAATGGCAAGTGTTACATGATTACATCAGCACTTCTTGTATTTTTTCTCCAGCACCCCAGTATACTGCATTAATTCAATTCTTCCCTTGGGATGGAGGCATAAAATGCCATGAAAAGATAAAAATAACAGGCTACCATTTTTAGTAAGTGGACTTATTTGTGTTGTTTTCTTCAGGAGTGCAATCTCCTTAAAAGCCAGAGGGCACAGTTAGTTTAACAGGGTTTGTATGAGACAATGGCTTCAGTATGCATCCTTTGGGCAAATCCATAGGACATAGCAACCAGCTGGTATTATCAGGCTGAAGTGTGCCTAGGCATCTCCCCTGAAAGGTAGTTACGTTCAGAAAAGCCCACTTTGTCAGGAACACAGGGCTGGCTGAGAATCATTTTCCACTGGCAGAGAAGCAGCAGCCCAGTCACAGACCTGATTTGAGTTACCTTACTTCCCCTTCATTGAGCCTGTGGCAGGAGCCAAAGCAGGCACACAGAGGACATGGAGCTGGAGGTTTGGAAATATGTAAGGAATAGCAAGCAAACTTGAATTATGAAGGAGACACGAGGCTGCTCAGGAAGGGAGGGAGAAAGGCAATGGTTCACCAGGCGAAGCCTTCTGTGCTGCAGAAGAGGAGCAGAGGAGGCTGTGTGTGTACTCTTCCAGGAGGTAGGCCAAGCATATGATTGCTGCTGATGGGGAAAGAGTTTCAGTGAACAAGCACATTCTTTGAATTGCAAAGGAGATGTTTCATTACAAACTGGTTGAGGAGTGTTACTCTGGCTCCGTGGATGCGTGAAACAGAGAGACAGCATCCTGACCCATGTGGCATGAGTCAGCTGTTGAGGCACCATGGCTGCATGGGCCAGAAAGCTGGTTTTATGAAAATATTGCACAGAGTCAGCATCTAGGTTTTTATATTTAAAACCTTGAATTTAAGCGTGAGGCCATTCCCAGAAAGAGTTTATCATACAGTTGCTCAGCGTGCAAGAATAGCTACGACCTCAGCATTTAAAACAATATCTGAAATACATTTTAAGCAAGAAAGTAGCAAAGTCAGTATATGGCTTAGACAAAAATACAGACTAGCTGGTGTCTTTTTGGCTTATAATACCACCTACACGGCTGCAGTGTGAAATTTGCCCTGGAAAAACCCTGCAATGCTCAGGTTGCAAATGTTAAGAAATCTTTAACCTCCCTGAGGGGACTTTTGTTTTTAACCAGTTAAAAATATTTCTATCCAGTATCAGTTCTGCAGTTTTCCCCTTTAACAAATGAAATCAATGCGTGGGGTCTAACTTTTCTGCTGCTCTCCTACCATACAAAAATGATGCTGGTGTGTGCTTCGTGATGCCTTTCCCCATCACCCAGTGGGTGAATTTTGTAGCCTGCCTTGTTAGTGGCACAGCAGGCCGCCAAAAAGAAACCGAGTTGTTTGTATGAGATGAGATGTTGGGCTGCCAACTGTTATAAATCTTGTGCTACTTACAGCTTCGGCTTTTCTTCAAGCCTACTCCACCCCCTGCTGTGGTTTTGACTGTTGGAGCAACATTAGGAGGCACAACTGAAAGCAGTAATATTGACATTTGTGGGGAAAATAAGAGAAAATGCAAGGCACAAATGTTTCATTGCTAGAACTGCATGTATAAGACCCGTAGCCGCAGAGATCTGGGCTCTTTGACAGTGGAAAGGGGATTTGCCCCCTGCAATATTTACCTGTAGCTGTACACATTTCCACCAGCTTGTTTTCTAAGTGTAACTGCTTGTAACCTCGCACGTGCTTCCCCACTGTCATATCATATTAAATGAGCTATAATTGTAGTCTATTAGAGTGCAATAACCTAAAAGTGATAGTGCATGACAGCACCTGTCAACACGTCATGGAGGATTGTATGGAATGCTGAATTATACCCATTTTATACCACATTAATGAGGCAGCTCATTCTTATCCAGTCATAAATAAACAGGTTTCAATTTCTTTATACACCATGAGAAGCTGTTTTTTTCCTTCTGCACAGAGAGCCACAGAAGTCATGATAAAGTGATCTATTGCCTGAAAAGGAATATCACAGTGTGGTCATTAATGACAGGATGCTATTTTTACCACTATTAATTGTTCTATGAATACATCTTGGTATGACTGCTTCTTTCCATTTTTTTCTGGAGAAGAAAATAGAGAAACACATAAAGAAAAACAAGAGTGGTTGTTCCTAATAAACTTTTAATATAAAATAAATTACTTGTCTGATTGCTTCAGCAGCACCCATAGACAGAGTGATACAGGCAGAAACCTGATCCCCTTTAAGATCAATGGCTGTGCTGGGGCCTAGTTCTCCTTCATAAACTCTTAAAGTCAGTTTTGAAATGGGAACAAGAAGAGAAAAAAGGAAAATGACAGTAGGGAGAAGAAAGAAGAGAGTGAGAGGCTTTCAGACTAATCAAAAGAAAAGCAAATGTATCAAAGCACATGTATAGTGCCCATTATTTTCTGTAACCTAACTAGATCAAGGTGTCTTCATTTCGAATAGCTGCTTAGGCTTCAGAGCCATAAATAATCGCCTGTGCTCTTCTGCTGAGCCCATGTGAGGAGAGGTTGATACAGTCCCCTGCGAGCAAAGATCTCACCTCCCTGACCCAGACAGAGGCCCAGAGCACCGAATACACCAGGTCAGTGATTCTGAGAGACAGATGTGGGTAGGGTGTCAGACAAGTTCTTTCCCTTTCTTGCTCAAAGTTACTGCACTAATGTAAGAAAAAGTGACAAATTTAGGAACTTTTAAGTGTATATAAAGTATAATGTGAAGAAATAAAGCACACTTAAGAGAGGACCAATAAAGAGTAGATGGTATTTATAAGAGAAACTATTTTCAATATAGTGAATCTTAAGGGACTGGGAGAAACTAGCTACTAAACTAAATGATTGCTAAATTCTGATCCTTTGCCAGCCATTTCCCGCAGAGTCTGTGCGATGGGTGTCTTTTGGGATCCTGGGAAATAGCTTCTGCTCTTTCTTTGATCTTTGAACTGTTGCAGGAAGAAGAGCCAGCTTGAAAGCACAGCCCACAGGAGGCATGCCAGCTTTTCCTTACAGAGTGAAAAAGACAGATCCAGCCTTGGGACCTGACACCCGGACAGTCAGCATGACCAGACAATGGTCTCACTCATCTTTGGCTCCACACAGGAACCCCCAGTTTGCCCTCTGCACCTAGGGTAACCACCAGCATGCCAAAGGAATTATGACTTTGGAACTACAGGGAAAACCCATGATGTTTACCTGAATACTTTGACACCACAGGCTATTTTATTCTGATTTATTTCTCAGGACTGGTGTTTAGTAATTTTACCAGTGCTGTTTTTTATGGACTGCTTAAAAATAATCTCCTTCATTTGTCAAGTCTTATTTATGCTCTTTATATATTACTTAAAAATAAAAAACTAAACCATTTCAAAAATAAATTAAAAATTTCTTCACTTGAATATTTTCTATGTAATCTTAGCTTTATAAGAGAGGAATGGATTTAGAATTTTGTTGTTTATCTCCAACAAAAGTGAGTTAAAAATCCTCATTTAAAAATCAAATCATAATTTCCCTCAGAAGTTGTTTGCAACCTATCTTCCAACAAATGCACTGGTCTGTGAAAGAATAGTGGAAGGACAGAGGGAACCAGTTTTCTTAGGTACTAGGCAAACAGGTCAGGTCAAAATTGATTCTGAATTTTATTTGATTTGGCTAATAATTTGATTTTTTGGCTAATAATTTTGATTAAAAAAAAACATTATTTCAAAAAAGATAAATTATTTTCATATTTTCACAATATTTAAACTTTTTGTTTAAAAGTTATTGTTTCTAAACTTCTCTAAATTTAAAATTCACTTAATGAGCATTTCAATTCATCCAAATAAATGAATCATTAACTTTGACTTCAACCCCAAGTCATTTTTCTTAATTTTTTTTCCTTTTTTCATTTTGCCAAGAAAGCCAGTAAAAGTTTATGCTTCGGGTCCATCCAAAATGAATGTTTTTTCTTCAATTTGACTACTGAACTGAAAAATCAATTATTCACACAACTCCTCTTTAAAATGGCTTGGAACTGTCTAATTGTGCATGTAGGCAGTTACTTACTGTGTGATCTTATTATTGCTCTCCTAATTCTTTCTATTTTCCCACCTAACTTTCTTGTGTCTTGTTCTAAGTCAAACTATAGACTGTTACGATCAGATACTTTGCCTTCCTGACATATGGAACACTAGCTTGACATATATCCTGAGATATATGTGTAGGGCAATTATTCCTATACCAGTGGTATATAAGTGGTACAGGGCTGTGTCCTTTACGTGTCCATCAGCGTGGACCATCAGCTCTAGATGCCATCCTCATCACTGCAAGTGACATCCGCAGTACACAGGATTCATTCTATTTTCTCAAGAAAGTAATAATTCAATTTTACAGACTAATCTTCTAATATTTCCTATCTGGCATCTCCACTGATGTTTGAACTGGAAGCCAACTCAAGGAAGGAAACACCACAGAAACATTACAAATGTCCACAGCAGAGGGAGAGCTAAGTGTTTGGTTTGAAAACTGGAAAGCAGATGAAAAAAGCAGCAAATGACAGAGAAGGTTGGAAGAGTTTCATTTCTGCCTTCTCGTCATTGTGAAGAGAACAGATAAACAGATAAGTGGTTCTTGGTGTAGATATAATTACGAGATCATTCAATTATATCTTTATCTTTCACTATCTTTCCCAGCTTTTTTGTTGTTTGGTCTGTTTGTTGAATTTTAATTTCTTTCTTTTTAAAAGAAATATGTAGCATTGTTTTCTGGTCTCTGCTTAAACTGCTCTGAGTTTATTTCAGTGGACTTACACCTCATTTACAGTGTGCTAGTAAATGTTTCTTTGCAACCCAAGGATAACACTTTAACTAAGATGATACGCACTGTAGAAATGTTTGATTCCCCCTCAAAACCAAATGAGTATTCTACCTTGACCCAGATGACAGATGCTGCCAAACACTGTAGCAAGCAGAGACAGAGAAGAAAGCAAGGTTTGCTCATACACTAGCTCCCAGATGACTCTCAATCATTTATAAATAACTCCTGTGTTGTTTTGATTTTGTCTTTTCTTTAATGATTTTTAGTGTCCTTATAAAGTGCCATTGCATCCTTCTTCACCCCATAACTAACAATGCAGTTGTAACAAATCTGCCTTCAAACCTGATGCACAGTCTGAAAAACATGTTTCTCTCTGAAAGGAAACTCACTGGAAGCTTATAAAATAATAACCTTTCTATTTGTAAAGTGTTTCCCATATATCCTCTGGACATACAGCTCTCTGTCTCTGTGAATGACGGAAGCCAACCAAGAATCTCTGCATTAGGTTACTGTGTGCTGTTTCAGTGCATTGAGAGAGTACTGGTGGGGATGACCATGAGTGATGGTCATGAAGCTTTCACAGAAATCCTAATGCTAGCCTAGAAAAGTGACCTTTCTCATCCTATACATTTGTTGTTTTCCAACAGCAAAGAACTACTATTGTAGATCTTTAGGATCCCAGTTTAGAAGGTAAGAGCTTGCAAAGACAGTGAAAAAAACCCACAAGCCATCACAAGTCCACACCCAAGGTTTTAGTACAAAAGAAGACTTTACATTTTTAGTGCTAGCCACAGCCTCCACAACCCCGGGTGCAAAACAGTCTTGCACAGAGTAGAGAGAAGGAATCAGCACTTTAGATCAGGTTTACAAGGGACAGCTCTGGGAGCAAGAACCTACGTCACTAGCAGAAAACCTATGCACACCATTTTGTATGTAGGGAACATACTATGGAATAAATCGTACCTACTTAATTAACTGTACTTTGCAGTTCTATATTATTAGCTACTGAGGGCAACTGGTGCCTTGGCACTGCAGTCAGTGTGGATTACATACACAGCCTGAACCTGCTAATTGAGTATGAGCGACTGTACGCAGATCAGCTGGCTGGTGTCCCAGACTGTACCACACTGCTCGCAAAGTGTCTCAGGGTCTTCTGCTGGACACCCTGTAGAACCACGTGTGTTAAAGTAGCATCACCTCTGTAACCTATGCACAAGGAACAACTTGCCAAGCAATTGATATCAAATTTGACCCCTGATTCACAGGGGCTGTCCTGAGTACAGGAGGAGGCTTTCTTCTCCTCTGCTGCATTTCTAAATGAATCTTTATCTGACACCCAAGTACCACCCACATTTGCCAGATGACATTGTGCGTCAGGCTCTGCTCCTGATTTTGTAAATTCCACAGAAACCCTAGGGACAGCCGAAGTGTAACAGTAAATAGATCTGGCAGCTTTGTTTTGGGGTTTAGTGGTGATTTTTTGCTACTCCTCTATGCCAGTGGAACTTAAAAAGATCAGTGCAAATGATACAGACTTGTGTAATGCTTGACATCGATTTCAGCAACATCTGAGCTCTCTACAAAAGAAGTTTGCAGTTTAATTGGAATGGCTTACATCCAGCAAGTGTGTTCAGAATAAACAAAAATTAGAGCATGGGGATATTTTTTTCCTAATAGAAGCACACTGCTAGGGCAGATGCTTGTTGTTGGAGGCCAAGGGCAGATCTTGCAGGCTGTTAGATGGGACCAATATTAGGCCTCTGCTCAGAATCCTTCTTTTTATGGTTCCAACTCTACATAAAGTACAGGAAAGGGTACGTGAAGCCCAATCGTCTTCATAGATGAATTCCTATCTTTTGAACTCCTCTTGATGCTGAAAGTATCATGGATAAATCACATTAGCTTTGATCTGAGTCTTCCCCAACACCCCATAAAACACAGCTTTGCACACCAGGGCATAAACAACAGCAATAAAAGGGGTGCACTTAACTGTAGGATTTTATGGATCCATCTGCCAAACATTTCTTCACAAGAGTAGAAACGCATCATGAGTTTAAGCAAGTGCCAGGCCTAACCAAAGTGTTCACTGGCAGCAAAACACCAAGCCATACCCATAATTGCCTGACCTGGCTGCTACACTTTGGAGATGAATCTGAAGAAATTACTGATACACTGATTCTGAGGGAGCACTTTGGGGAATGGAGCATGGCAGGAGATGATGCTGAGGGCACTCGAGTCCTTTTCTATTTAGTCTTGACCAATCATGGTCCCCAACTGCAGAGTTATCTGAGTTCCTCTGAGGATGCAGAATAAGGAAAGATGTACACAATATTTATAATCAGTTGAGGAGATGTCACAGTCATCCTGATCACAAATCTGATCTCTGAGACTGGCAGAGCAGAACAGGCATTGACACTGCTTAAAACTGGTAAATGGCATGCAGGAAAAATAAGGGCACTGTTCAAGGACATAGATAAGTAAATGTGACCCCACATTAATAGAATTATGGAGTTATTTTAGTTGTAAGGGACATTTGGAGATTACCTGGTCTGATCACCTTCTCAAGTCAGACCTATCGTAGCAAGGGGATTCAACCAGTCATGAAGGAGAACATGTTTTTTAGAGCCTTGGCAACACTCCCCAACACCCTTCATCCCCCAGAACAGAAAGATGTTGTCCAAGTTCCTGATGAGGAAGCTGGGAGGGACAAGCGGCCCATGTAGTGTTTAAGTGCCACATAGCGCTCATCTAGGATTACCATCTGGCTGGGACAAAACTTTTAAGAACTGGGTCCACCCCAGTTTTCCAAGCAAGAGAGGCAATCCAAACCAGGCCTAACATTCATGGCACCAGTGTGTTCAGAGCATGCATCCTTTGAGATGCTGAATTCCTCTCTACTTCTTCACATAGACTGTGCTTACTGTCACAGAAGACACACTGTATAAGGGTACTCTGGTGTCAAAACACAAGTGAAATATCTCCAGATGAGTGTCCTTCCCACTCTCTCCCATTCCTCCTTTTCCTCTCTTCTCTCTTACCCCATTGCTCTTGATGTATAGACTCCTGGTATTGCATGGGAGAGGTGACCAGTTATCTTCTACCTTCCCAGGCCTACAAACACCTTCCCAGCTGCAAACACAAGGGCAGAGCATGGGCAAGCACTTGACAGAAGGGCCCATGCCTAGGAGAGATGTATTATTTGCACAGACAAAAGCTCCCCCTGCACACCTAGGTGCCAGAAAAACCTGACCACCCAAATGTTTGTGCAAAGGGAATAAAAGGAGCAGGAACGTGATCAGATGGAATCGCTAACCGGCTTTAGCAAACACGGGCTCTAATTAATTTTTTCCTCCCATTGTTTACCCAGCTTTGTATGTAACTGAGAGCTGAACCGGGCTTATCAGTAATTACCAACAGTTCTGGAAACTTTATACGTTATTGTGCTGTGTTACTACATAGGGTAGTGATCCATGAAGATGGGTGTCTCT